TGTGGGTACTCGGACCCAGGACGAGTGCATTTTGCATTTCCTGCGGTTGCCCATCGAGGATCCCTATCTGGAGGATGATGGCGGCTTCCTGGGACCCCTGGGCTGTCAACCCATTCCGTTTAGCAAAAGCGGCAATCCCATTATGTCCACGGTGGCATTTTTGGCCTCTGTGGTGGATCCCCGGGTGGCAGCCGCAGCCGCAAAGGCAGCCATGGAGGAGTTTGCAGCCATAAAGGTGAGGGAAATTCTTTCGTTTTTCTTTGATCTTTCCTGTCTTTCAATGTGTAATCGTAATCTCTTGTGTGTTTAGGACGAGGTGCCAGCCACCATTATGGATATCCATATAAAGAGCGTGAAGAAGGCCTCCGCTGGAGGCAAATTCAATCCGAACTTTGGTTTATCCAACAGCGGAATTGCTGGCACTGGCACCGACAAGGAGGATGAGGAAAGCAAGGATGGCAGCAGCGGCGGCTCGGCCACAGCGGCCAGTGGCGCAGCAGGAGCAGCAAGTGATGAGGAAATGAAGGACCTAACCAAGAAAGACGGTAATTTAATGACTAACTATAACGACTTCCTTCCCGTTTCCTTTCTTTATAATTTAATTTGAATGCTCAAAATTTTGTAATTCGTTTTGAAATGTGGCCCGTCATTTATTTGTTTTTTGTTTCGTTTTTGTTCAACAACAACAACAAAACGTACAACACAACCACCAACAATCTGCAACATCACAGACGATGCCAAGTCCAAAGACAAAACGAAATCGGATACCAAGACGAACACAAACACAGACTCTAGTTCCCCATCATCATCATCATCAACGACATCGACAGCCACAAGCAACACGAACACAACTACAGATAATAAGAAACCAAAAGATTCGTCGGATAAAGCCAGCAAAACAGACAAATCAAACAAATCCTCACCCACAGACCCAGCAGCAGCAGCAGCAGCAGGAGGAGCAACAGTCGCTGCGAGTGGCAGTGGAGCATCGATGGATGTGGACATCAAAACGGAGGATAACAGTGGCGATGGGGAGACTAAGGATGGCAGCGATGGCTCCAAGGATGGCTCAAGTGGCCAAGGCAGCAACAAGGAGGGAGCCTTCAGTGAGAACAACATGCAGACGGCTGCAGCTGCTGCACTGGCATCGGCGGCCGTCAAGGCCAAGCATTTGGCTGCACTCGAGGAGCGCAAGATCAAGTCTTTGGTGGCCCTTCTGGTCGAAACGCAAATGAAGAAGCTGGAGATCAAGCTGAGGCACTTTGAGGAGCTGGAAGCCACCATGGAGAGGGAGCGCGAGGGCCTGGAGTACCAGCGGCAGCAGCTGATTACAGAGCGCCAGCAGTTCCATTTAGAGCAGTTGAAGGCCGCCGAGTTTCGCGCACGCCAGCAAGCGCATCATCGTCTGCAACAGGAGTTGCAAGGTCAGGCTGCCGCTGCCGGCACCATGATCCTGCAACAGCAGCAGCAACAACAGCAACAGCCAACGCCGCCACCACAGCAGCCACAACAGCAGCAAGCACTGCCGCCTCATCAGGCGCAAGTCCAGACCCAGACGCTGGCAGCCCCATCGGCACAGCATCAGCCTCTGCCGCCACATATAGCAGCGGTGGGTGTGGGTCCACCACCAAATGGAGCGCCTTTCGCAGCGCCGCCCATGGCGACGGCAGCGGCTGGTGGAGCACCTCCAACAGGAGGCGGAATACCAGCGGTTCTGGCAACTGCCAGCGAACAAGCAGGAGCAGCAGCTGCAGCAGCCGCAGCGGCGGCGCAACCTCAGGCCCCCACAGCAATGGGTAAGTGAACGAGCAGTGGGCCTTTCCAATTGCATGGTAAAGATAAATGAATTTTCTTTTTTTGATGCAGATACCACACCGCCGACAATCAGTGCACCTGTTGCCGAGGTGCCAAGCGTACCGACTGCTGGATCGGTGGTGCTGCCGCCTGCCGTCTCAAGCATTCCTCCGACCAGCACTGCGGCTCCTGTGGCTGCACCACCAGTTGCTCCACCATCTTAACTCCTTTTTTAAATGATAAGTCAACAACAAAATTAATTAAGATTAAGTCGTACGCTCTCATTATGTATTATGTGTACTCCACAACCAGTCCCATCCCCCGAGGGCTCTCTCTCTCTCTGTCTATGCCCAAAATCTTCTACTGTCACCCCAGCCTCAGCCTCTCGTGTAACAATTTTTTGTAGCTTTCGTTTCGTATCAGCCGAGTCACAATTATTTGAATTTAAGTTTCAAATACAAACCAACAACATCCATTCAATAGAAATATATTTACAAAATATTCGTTCGGGATTGGATTGGAATTCAATAAATGTACACAGACTTGTCGTTTATTTTAGTTAATTCATTTTGAGCGTTGCTCTTTCTCTTACAAAATGATTTCTTAAGGTGATAGCTAGAGCATAATCGATATGCTACGTAAAATGTAGCCAAAAATATGGATGAGTAGATCCAGATCAGATCGCTGATTGAATGCACTGGCGCTTGAATATATTTGGGGATGGCAGCGGACCAAGTTCTTTGGCGGAATTGGTACGCTTCAGTGGTGTTATTATCAGCTGATCTGGCTCCACCAACGTCTCCTGAACCCCGGAGTCTGGCTTGGTTTTAAATATTTTTATCGACGTGCCACTGGGATAGCGCAATTTATTTGTGGAAACGGAAATATTAAATGAAATTTGATTGCTTTGCGGCGGTTTTTCATGCAGCACAGAGCGCGGCACAGTGACTGTTGCTTTGCGCAGACCTTGGGCAAACTTCAACATTCTCTTTATGTATATTTTGTTGTAGAACTCAATGATATTGCCGCATCGGAAATTGCCCAAGCAAACCAAACGATAGACTTGACTGCGAGCGTGTGGCTGGCAGCGATAGTGCAGGAGTATCTGGTGGAAGCTGAGGTGCTTGCGCGTTAGTCGGCCATGCAAGTGGATGGCACAAATTAGCAACTGGTCGAGCTCCCGCTGCTTGAGCAGATATCCGCAGTGTTGGGTGAACGAGTGCTCTGCAATGTACCAGATATTGCTAAAATATTGCATCAAATCCAGGCGCTGGCAGAGATTAATGAGGCGAAGGTTGGCCAGGCTATAGAACTTGCGCAGACAGATGCTTAAGCCGGGCCTTAGCTCTGCTCTTGATCGCGCAGCATTCTCCTTGTCTTTGGCCTGTACTTCGTTGCAGGAGGGCAAGCAACGTTGTGTGGACAATATTTTCCACAGTAGCGAGTCGTTGCGGAATATCAGCGATCCGAGACATTCGATCTCGACGGCATTCAGGTGCTTGATCAGATCGCGACCGAGCAGACCAGTGTTGTGCCGCACCACCAGTTCAAGGATCTTCTGAAATTCGTACGCATCGAGGGCGTAACACTTCAAGATAAAGGGAAACTTTAGCTCCTTCACGCGCACCTCTTGAATGTGCATGGCCAGCTCCAGGGAGCAGGCAATCAGTGTGGAATGGAGAGTTATATTTTTCAGCAGCTGAACCATCTTCAGGTGTGGCTTCAGCTTCAGCTCCGAGCTGGTGATCTTCTGCAGGAAGTGATAGTATAGTCGGCAGGACATCGTGAAGCACTCATCGGCTTCCTCTGTGCTCAAGAAGTCCCGCGAAGACTTAGCGAATACACGGGCCATGACGCACAGGCGTTTACCCAAACTGCTGATCACATCAACATCCTCTGCATCCAAGGTTTCAGTGATCTCCGAGGGCATGGCATTTGGCAGGATATGCAAGTGCTTGTAGCGGGAAGGAGTCTTAGGCTGGTTTATCGCTGGCGATGCCTTTTTGCGACACAGCAGTACCCGCTCATCGATCTCGCTAATGTCGGACACATGTTTTGTGTAGTTCCGGTTGAGTGTACCCAAATTGACGTCCAGGAGGCCCTCCTTGACGATCTCCCGCATGAAGGTGTCGTTGCCCAGCAGATTCTGATCCAAGAACAGCACCACCAGAGCCTTGTGAAAGAAGGCCTTCTGCATGACTTGCACACCCTTGATCGGCAGCTCTGGAATCAGCGGGCAGATGTCCTTCAGTGCACTGTACTTGAGCAGCAGGGTATCGTCAAAGTCGTCGTTGCCCCATGTGCTGGGCAAACCTTTAAAAGACATGTTGATCACGTCGGGATTACCCACCTCCAGGGCATTCACGTAGAGCAAATCCAGGGTGCAGATGAGCAGCTGACAGCCATTGACCAGATTCGAAGTGGCAAAGCCGGGCAGCTCGTTTCTGATGGTCAAAAACAGAACCCAGCCAAACTCATAAAGGGATTGGTATAGGGAACGGCTCTCTGTGTTCTCCGTGTCCTCCTCTGGCAATAAGAACAGGCGATCAAATGCGCATTGATAGTAATTCCTTATGATCAGGGTTATGCTTAGCCGTCTCTGTAGATCGTCGATTTCCTGCTGAAAGACCATCTCACTCTTGGCCATCATGTTCCACTGCTTCATTCGGCGCATAAACCGACATATGTTTACTTTGAAGGCCGTGAGTAGTTTGGTCAGCGACAAGTTCCAGCAACTGGTGCGTGCATTTTCCGCTACATTCTTCGTCTCGTCGGCCCTATGCTTGGCATCGAGCATATCCTTAATCTTCACACGCTGCAGCTCACAGTAGACGGCGCAGCAGAGCCATTCTTGCACATCGCGTTTCTTGGCTAGCCCGCCACCCGCGTTCGATTTACGAAAGACGGCAAGTGCCTTACACTTGATCTCTTGGTCCAGATCGAGCAGATTGCAACTGGCCGTAAAACTTGAATTGCTTGTGTCAGCTGCCCCGCCCTCCCTGCAGGTATCCATTTTTTACAATTCGAGCAGGTTTTTGTGCACTTAAAGCAATTCAGTTTGTCTTTTGACTGTACAAAATGTGAGTTTTTCAAAAGGCGCGAATTGTCAAAATTGTTTCCATTTGCGACCAGGGCTGCCGATATCTGCCCTGACACGAGGGCTGCATTCATCGCGTTATCGATTGTATTGCACGGCGTGCGATATTGCTCAAAGTGCATGTGCACGAGAAACAAACAATAAAAATGCTGCAATCTAACCGTGTGCTGCAGCGGGAACAAGTAGAACTCCTGGCTATTGAAAAGAAGCTGCTGAAGGTATTGCCTGTTATCCAGGAGGCCTTGAATTCGCTGAAGGTATGACATCGCCACTATCCCCTATGACAGAAACACCAACTACTTTCCCCCTTCGAGGTGGAGGAACTGCATCTGAAATCCCTGAGTCTGGAGCGTACCATCGAGTCACAGCTTGTGGCGCCTGCTAGTCGCACACACTTTGACATGAGCGAAGCTCCACACATAAGCACACCAGCGGCCATGCAACCGGATCAAATAAATCAGCAGAAAATCGATTTGGACATCTTTATAAACAAGCTGGAACACGATGAGGAATTGGATTCGGACTGAGCTAAAATGTTTATTCATGGTTCTTGCTGCCTGACGGAGAATTTGCCAGACCACACGTTTACATACTGTGAACTTAAATAATACAAATATTTCGTGCACTTAAATAGGGGTAAAATTACAAATTACCAAAGAACGAAAGAGTAACTAAACTACTAAAGCTATGCGCTAAAAACCCTTGTTGGCCTTCAATTCCTTCAATTACTCTGGGACCTGGGTACCACCGTCTGAGGATTCTCCTGAGCTGTCTACACGTTTCTTTTTCTTTGAGACCTCGTCATCGCTGCTGTCGCTATCTGAGCTGGATCCGGAGCTGCTAGACGAGCCGGATTCTTCGCCCGATGAACTGCCATCCTCATCCGAATCGGAGCTGGAATCGCTGGAGTCCGAGCCAGAGGAGTCTGACCCTGAACTGCTGCCAGAGCTTCCAGAGGAACTGGAGGATGAAGAGCTGTTGCTATTCTTCCGTCTGCGTTTCTCTTTCTTGCTCGAAGCAGCTAAAGCACTGGATTCCTGGGCTGCAGCTGCCTCGGCAGCAGTTTTATTGGCCATGGCGTCTTCTTTATCTGCCAGATGCTTGCTAAGCTGCTTTGTACGTGAACTGCGGTGCACATATTTGCGCTTCTCCTTGCACTCGTAGCTCCAGTGACCCATTTGCAGGCATTTCTGGCAGCGTACTCCATTGGGGAAGGCGGCGGCCAGTTTTGCCGACCTAAGGAGAGGCGTGGGTTAGTTTATTTTGGCTAGGCACCCGGCTACTTTTATTACCTTTGTTTTTGGGCTAGCTTGCGTGCTGCTAGTCCCACCAAAGTCATCCTGAAGAATTCTTTCAGTCGGTGCCTGGAGACAATCTTGACGGTGGTTTAACTAAGGGTGTCGGGGTTAAATTTGCACAAAAAAATGGATAGAAAAATGTTTTTATTTTTCCCTTTTGTCGTCACATTAAAACTATCGATGAGAAAACATCGGCTGTAGGAAAAACTATCACAGTTTGGCATGTTTGATGTGACAGCCCTGAAACTCACTGCCTATCGACTATCGACACACCAGCTGTAATCTAATAATCTCTATGTATTGTTTAAATTTTGCATTTTTAGCATAATTGTATATAGTTAATAATATAATACGTGAAAAATAATGCGCACCTCTTTCACGGACCCAACACATAATAGTGGAGCTCTACTTCCGTTTTGCTCGCATCGAGTTTGAGTGCTTTTTGCCCATATTTGGGGATATTTTGAAAGTTAAACAATAACAAATCTCATTGCTCACTAAGTGGCGAAAGTGGAGTGCAGCAAAGTCCATCGGCAATCACCAGACAATCATAGGTAAGGTAAGGTAAGGTAAATCTAATAATGGTGTTTCGGCAGTGCAATAATTTTTGTGAATTTGTAATAGAGTGCGAAATGGATACAACAACAATGGTGCCGAGGGCGTCTGCCCGTATGATGCCACCGGAAGAACTGGCAATGCAATCGCTTACCAAACAAATTTTCAAGTCGAGACTTTTTCGTGGCTACTACCTGGGACGCTGTTTCGTGGAGCAGATCGGGGATTATAGAGATGTTATTGCCCTACAACGTAGCGAACGGGAACTGGAGAAACTCCTGCTCACCAGTGCAGGCCAACTGCAGACGTTCTACCAGCGATTAGTGCCCAATATGTGGGTGGGCATATCAAATGGTAGCCTGGGAAACTACAAGCACACACCACATCATGGCCAGCTAGAGACTTGCATTTGGGCGGAGATGGATGACTTGGCCTTCGGTGAATATTGGTTTAGCATCAAAACGCTGCGATTTCGGGACCAGGAAGTGCTGCTAAAGCTCAAAACTGTTCGACCCGTTGAACCAGAGTCCCAGGCGACGCCAAGAAGATCCATCTCTATGAACAGGAGCACGGCAAGCAATGCCATAAAATCAGCAAGCGAGAGTGTGGCCGCAGAGAGCGAGGTGACCGAACAGCCCCCTCAAGTGGCATTGTCCGACTTCTTGGACGTGCTGCGGCAGTGGGGTGAAGGCATCAAGCAGACGACCTACGATTTTATGGCCAACGATGTGAACAAACACAACATCATGGGCACAATACGCTTCCTGGGTCTGCTTCTCTTCTCAGTAGGGGGCGGAGCAATTGCAGCATTGCGGTTCTTGGGAATCTTTGCCGTAAGATTCCTCTTCGAGCTAAGCCGGCTAACACACACCCTCACGCCCATTCTGTTCCGAATCCTAGAGTTTTTGAACAAGATTGTGGGTGCCTTTTTCATATTGCTAACCATGATATGGAAGGACATCATAAACCGTGGTCAGCCGATAGCCCCCAAGCAGCCGCTAGAAGGAAGTTCTCGCTTCAAGAGCATCACCTACGAACGTAGCGAGAGACGGCGCTGGCAATGATCCTAAAATTGATAGCACAAGTGGAATGGTGGAATGTCTTGTATTTAGTGTAATAGTGGAAGAGATTCAAATTGCAATTGTGTTACTAGAGTTAAGCAAGCTGGAAGCCCCACACTCAGATCGACCCGATTAAGTAGACAATTTATTTCAGATTTAAAGCCAAAATGCAATATGTTAAATTATTCGAAAAACTTGTTAAATTTTAACCCGTTTAGTGTCTAGTCTTTCTTCGTCTATTTATGTATTGAATTGAAAACTTTATGTAAATTAAATGCACCGTGAAAATGAAACAAATCTATGTTTGTTAGTTTTAATAGTTATACACTTTCCCTTTATTACTTTAGTTGATTTTAATCTCATTAAATTGTTCTCATATATAGTTATGTATAACTCGTATGTGGTGTTGCCTGCCGGCGCCCTTATCTGTTCGGTCTTTACACAAAATGTTTGTCATATTCGTTTTGTTTGTTTTATGTGGATTTTGTTTGCGGTGTGTGTGTGTGTGTGTGTGTGTGTGTGTGTGTGTGTCACTTCATTTCTCTGGACCTACATCGACTTGAGAATGTTCAATGGCGATTTAAGGAGCGCTTCTCTGCTGTGTCGGTCCGGTCCGGTCCCCCCCCCACCTGGATCTCTAAATATCATTATCAATTATTAAACAACTAAATTATACATTCTGGTTTCGTAGGTGATATACTTTAATTAGTACATATACATATATTTTATTTTATTTCCTTTTTGAAATGCTATAATTATGGAATGCTGCTGCTCAACAAACGTTCGCTCGTACAACTTTATTTAATTTGTTTGCCTTTTTCAGGGTTGGGTTTTGTTTAATAGTAGACAATAAAATATGTGTGATGCTTGGGAGATTTGATATACTCATGTATGCTGAAGTCGGTATGTATGTTCTTTTGGGATTCGGTTCTGGGGTTCAGGGCTGTTCTCGGCTGTTCTGCCTTGTAAAATACATATGCTGTCAACATCATTACATTATTTGTCTTTAATTGTTAATATTATTTAGTTATTAGTTTAGTTTATGCACTAAGTCGCCTGTCATTGTGTCGCCAACATGTTTAAAAACGCACAAAGTAAAAATGTAAAGTTTAAAATATGTTTTTCGTTTGTCATTATAATCCATGTGGTGTCTTGTAAATACTTTCATTTTCATTTGCATTTGCGTTTTAAAAGTAAATGTACAATATACAGTTTAATGCCATAACTTTTACGTACTCCGTACTCTTCTTCGCTTCTCTTCTCTTCGACACTTTTATTTGTTAAGATATATTTTTGCCATTTCATTTGCTAACAAATAATTACATATTCATAGCATTTTCATTTAACGTTTCATTCTGCAGAAAATAATGTTTTTTGTTTGGTTTTTTTGTTAACAATTAGTTAGACATTTAGAGCAAAAACATTGATAATATAGATTTTGTCTTGTGTTTTTGTTTTAGTTTATGCATAAAAATTTGTCTAGTGAAATATATATAAATATATATGTTGTTTCAAGGGTTTTGAACTGCTTATTGTTTATAATTGCGATTACTTTCATTTGTTTTATTTGTAATTTGTTAATTGCGTTTGTTAGTTGTTAGTCCAATTCAGAATTAATTATTGTTTTGGCATTTTGTTTTTATAGTTTCTTTTCAAGGAAGTATCGTTAGTGTCTCGTTAGTGGAACAGCAAAAGGTGAGATATTTTTGTGGGGGATTTTAAAATGAGGGGAGATAACTTGTTGGCGCGCCTTAAATTGAGCTAAAACAAATATGTAGGTATTTAATTTTCATTTCATTTCTTTTCATTCGTTATTTCGTTAAGCATCATCGATCAATGAGGATTTCTATATTTTTCGTTTAGTTATAAACTATTTGAGGGCGAAATAATACACTCGGTTGTTCTTATTTCCTGCTCTCAACTAATGGAATGCTAAATTTTTGTCATTTTATTTTATTCAAGAAAAAGAACAACTCAAATTTTTCAACGTTTTAATTTGTGTGTCTCTCGTATCTTTACATATTTATATAGAGCATACATATATATATATCTCATATATCTATATCTTTATGTTATTATAATAATTTTTTACACATTAAATTCAAATGCATTAATTTATCTTCTGTATATATATATATATATATATATATATATATGTGTATATATATTTATATATAATTTATTTATAAATATAAATAACAAAATGTTTCCCTTTGAAGCTTTGTTTTTTTATTTATCATTCGTTTTCGTTTTCTTTTACTGCTTTTTGTTTCTATATTCAAATACGATTCCTGCATCTATAGCTTTAACCAGTTTTCTCGAGTGTTTTCTATATAGTAGTATGTACGTACTTATTGATAGGGGTTTAGGGTTACTGTTACTGGCTGCCAGATCTCCCTCGACTTTTTTAGTGTGCTGAACAATTGGCAAGTAATACCGACGACTCTTCCCAGTACTTTGCTCTGCCGCGAGTCAACCAAAGAAAAGATAATATAGTAAAGAGACTTAAATACATACATATATATACTATATGTATTGTATATATGCATTTATTTTGTTGTACCGGAATCGAATCGGTTTTGGATTTTTGCATTTTGTAGCGGCTAAAACGTTAAGGTTGAATAAAATCGCTTTTCTTTTGGTTTTAGTGTCTTATATCATGTCTGAACGTGAACTGAATAAAACGTATCTGCTTGAGGGGGCGGGGCCCAATATATCTGAACCAACTTTTCCAGTAGGCCACCCGGAGGCAAGCCCCAGACGGGCACTAGAAGAGCGCTACTGG